CTATTTCAATGGAACCCATGAGATATCCATATAGTGTTTTTGATATTAGCATTAAGTATGTTAGCGACAAATGATCAATAACTTAAACGCCAACCGATTTCGATTTATTTATTTATTTATAAGGGTCAACTTCACAGGTGGTCCCATGATGACGATTACAAGATCTGATTATATCATCTTAAGAATATTTAGGAAATCCTTAACATGTGAATGTAATAGTAAACAGTACACACAAAGTAACGGTATTACTTAGTGTGTGTATGTTTGTGTAAAGTGCATTACTAAGTGTTACCAACAATGTCGGAAAATAGATTTCGTAAACTTGTTATTAACCGACTTCAAATAGGAGGAGGTTTTTGAGAACTGATTCGTCAGAACCATTTCTTTAATAAAGCGTCTACCACATCATTACTAGATTCATCTTTATATAAATTTCTCATATGTACTAGATCGTGTATAATATATTACTTTCGCTTATATACTAATCTGCTTATTAACTTACTCCCTTATATTCTTACTTCTTATCTACTTTCTCGATTGTATATAAGGCGAGTATGTATATAAGGAAAGTAAGTATATATGGAGAGTTAGCATATAAGGAGATTATTATTTAAGGTCACTAAGTATATAAGGAGAGTAAGTATACAAGGAGAATTAGTATATAAAGCGATTAAGTTTATAAGACGAGAAACAAATTTCGGAATTGCAGACAAAAGAAAAAACTTCAATAATAATAAGCCACTTAGTCTACCTACAGATGAATTGACTGATCATGATACGAATAAGAAATTTATATTCGTCTTCAGAAGGTAGGAGATTCTCTTATACCGAGCATCCACTGTGATAATGCCTGCACTAAACTATACCTTATTCTGGACTAAACTGTAGCTTCTTCGGACATTAAGATCTGTCCTTGAAGTACCGTGGTTATAAAGTATGTTTTATAATACAGAAACTAAAATGTAGAATAAAATACATTATATTCAATAATTACAAATAAAACTAAATATTCAGTTTCACTAACAGAATAAGAAACGAAATTTTATAGTTGCGTTTGTGTTTATGTAGTTTGAATATAATGTTAATAATACGAATATTATGCAAATACAACTCCCACAACAATTATATAGTGGAGGTAGCCATTAGCATTCGAAAATGCTTTACACGAAACTCGGTAAAATGTCATTTCTAAACATAAATTACTATAATATTATTTGTCTGAAATTTTAATTATACATACATAAAAATGAATAAGATTTGCTTTGACTTTAAAAACTATAAATAATTGTGGTTATAATATAATACAAAAAGTAATATCATTATCAACCACCATTCAAAACACTCCACTGTGGTAAGCCCACTGTCAGCTTTCACGGATAATTTACAAATTTTAATTAATGAATTCACTGTCAATGCCATTTCATTAGATACATAATTAAAAAAGGACTACAATAAAAATAATAAATTTTTAACCTAGATTATGGTTCTGGTTTCATAATTATCGAGAACAAGAGGGTTCATTAGAGTTTATTAACAATTTTATATAAATGTGTTGGAATCGATAAACTAAACAAAATAATTCATAGCAATAATGACAATAACAAATATTGTTATATACAGGGTGACTGGTGAATTACTATCAATATTTAAGGAGAATACTCGGTACATGATTCTCGTTCGAATTATGTAAAAAAAATAGGTACTTAATTTTTGACAAAATTTCCGTATAAATAAATAAAGTGTTGACAGGTTCCAAGTGTTCCAAGTGTGGACGCGTGCGGCGGCGTGCTGATACAAAACCACGCCCCCGCCGCGTATGTGTGCGTGTGTGTGTATACCTAATCTGTAGGGTGTTCACACGATGCGTAATTAATTACATAACTTTTGGTTAACTTTACTTAGAAGTTTATTAATATTTACGTTATATTAATTTTTATTTTGTCATATATGATCGTCAACTACCACGTCCTCAAATATCGATAGTAATTCACCAGTCACCCTGTATATCGGTGTTACCAGCTTTAATAATGGATGCGACTTGAAAATAATTTGAGGCTGTCATCAATTCTTATTAAACCTCATTAGTATTTATGATTATTGTTAAAAGTAAAACGAAATCAAAGGAGAATAGAACTATGTTTGAATCTTGTTATAAATATGACGTCTGGATGCACGACGGCAGATTTGAGAATTCAGAATTGATACTCGTAATTCAGAGTTCAGTGAGTGTGTATCATTGAAGTATGTTATTATAAAGAATCTTTGAGAAATACAGGAGCATTAAGATTAAATGTAGTTTCATTTTAAAATATCATGGACCGTTCTAGAAGAAGTGACATTTGTAACGTCAGCGAGGCTGGCGTCACTCTCTTTAAAAACAATGAATTTATAATAAATCCGATATATATTTTTAATATTCAAGAGATAAATATACGTAAAACCCTTGTATTTATCACAATTGTTTAAATCATACCCTTGTAAGAGAATATCTAACCAAATATCTTTTTGGAGCTTGTCTCATTATCTTAACTAGTTCACATCCCCATATAACATGTGTGATGTCACACTCGTTTATTATATTGTAAAAGAATGAAAATAGTAACTGCAATATTATCACTCAAACATTATAAAAGGAATAAAACATTTATGGACAACTATTAACTATAGATTGATTATTATTATTGATTATCAATTTATGTTGCTCTTGGTAAATTCTTCTCGACCTATGTCGATAATAATGTATTACGGTTATCGAACAATAATATGTTTTTTGTCTAACGATACACATTGTTGTTACAAGATGCGACTGTACTTTCGTAAGTTAATTTATAATTAAGGACAGTCATAATTTAAGAATTCTTTGGAATTTATTTACCTAATATTTTGTTGACAGAATTAAAGAAATTTATCTTTTCAGAACAAATCTTCATTTCTTATATGACTAGCAAATCTGTCTTGAACTCCCGTGTTCTTGCAATTTCTAATTATTTTAACATTCAAAGAATAGGTTTGAAAATTATAACTTAAACAATCAATAATACCAAAATAATTAATCAGGTAGGTACTTAAAAAAACACAGGAAAGATTATATGTATGTGTTAATAATAACATATAATTTATGCAGATCAATATTAGTATGAACATACAAACTATATTCAGGCCGGAGATTTTAATATTTTAATAACATAGGTGCGTATAATATTTTGCTAATTAAGGTATTTATTATGTAACTGACTAGTTATTATGATTTTGCCATGCATTATTAATGAGATTAACGATTAAAGTTAGTAAATAAATATTGGTTTGATTAAGATCATCTGTTAATAATATGTATTTAGCTTCAACTGCCTTCACATGTTTAATCATTTGTCAGTATATCGCCTAAATCCACATGTAAATTTATATTTTAATATAATTTAAATATTGTTTTAAGATAGATGTGACTTTATGATTTTTTGTAATTAAATTAATTTCAATTCCCTTTTATCTTGTTATTTACAAGAACACGATAAACTAAGAGAAGACAATTCAATTTTAGTTTGAATCTTTCTATATGTACATAATTGTTTTGTATTATTAATTGTAATTATGCTTAACATTAATCTAAATCACATAGCATTCTAATAATTTATAGGAAACGAGTTAGATATAGTTAGATATAGGTGGTGGAGCCTAGCTGTAGTTTAGTTACTACAGCTCGAATATGGGCTGGCTCGACCGGGGAAGTACCACCCCCTCACAGAAGATCGGCGTGAAGTAGTCAATAATGACTGCGTTTCGTCCGATGAGTGAGAGAGCCGGTTGCCCTTTCCCTGCTCCCAGCCTTTCCTTATATTTCCTTCTTCTCACCCATCCCTTTTCCCCCACAAGTAAGGTTTGCAACGCATCCGCAATCACTGACTAAACTATTACATAAGACATTCGCTGTTGTGGCTTCCGTTTCTAAGAACAAAAGGTATTGATTATTCTCTGAGTTTTTATGCTGACAATGAGATTTTTAATTTATTTCATATACATATATACTGATTATTTAAAATGTTTAACCTTTAAGTGAAATCAGATTCAGTCTAATACATATTTATTTCTGAATTTTTTGTATTAAATAAACGACTATGAGTTTTTTAAATAAGATTTTTTTTTATGTAAAGTCTTCAGTAATTTGGAATAAAAAGAAATATGTTAAAAATCTAAATATTTTATGTTTTACAAATAAAAAGTCAATTTTAATTGTAATTTATTATGAGCTTGTATGAACTATACTTCACTTCATGAAAAATTTCACAGTAAAAGAACAAAATTCTAACTTTCATTATAACAATTGAACGCTATTAATTAAATTAAATAACAAAAAGCATATCCAAATATATGTATACATATAGACATTTTATTATATGGATATTTGATTGATTTTTTAAGTTATTCTTTGCTACAAATACATTCAAAATTTTTTGAATAAGTAATTAACGCTAGAAAGACCAAGGCAGTCAAATTTACGGCAAAGCAATTTCATTGTTAAATATTTCACAAACTATGTTTTTGTTCCTTTTCATATTTTATGACTTTTCTTAATTTGCTAATGTTATGCTAAATCTATATGAAAAAAAAATAACAATATGTTATATCGATGGTCCCTAAGTAAAGTATTGAATCTGCAAAATGTCAATTTTTTTTTATTGTTGTTTTCGACTCATAATTAACACATCTTTGCAATGGCTTTTTCAGAAATATTATAAATACATTGCTTATACCCTTTACCGAAACGTATAAAATCGAAAATATATAGTTTACGCGGCGTATAACATCGAAAGATAACTTTCGCGCGTTTACGCGGCTTTGACGAGGGTGTAACAAGAACGGAACTGCCGCTTTCGCGAGTGTAAGCGGGAATGTGGATGCGCTCAATGTTTTGATAGTCTACCGGTCGTACAATAGGTTCTATTTGTGTTAATTTTGTTAATTTAGACTTAAATCCTCCTGTGATGAATCGGTTACCCTTAAAAATGTATTCAAGATCAAGAAGAATTGTGGAATTAGTGACAGAGAGAATAGAATCAGTTATTTTTGAAGCCGGTAAATCTTAAAATATATGTGGCACTCTTATCTTTTGTGACATGTAACTGTAACGTAAATAAATGGTGTAAAGAATATATTATAATTATATTTTTTCTTCTTTGAGACTAAATTAATAAGCGTATCTCTAGTTTTGCTTATATTGAACGGGTCTCCGAAGTAAGGTATCGAATCCGGTAGATTCGATTATTTATGACGGGTGACTTATATGAAAGAGGATTGAATGTGCCATTTTCAATATTTTACTTGGTAATGTCATTTAGCTTTTTGACAAATCATTATTGAAAGTGGTAATTTCGATAGTTAAAGATGGATCTTTGAATATCTTTTGCAAAGTTTCGATGAAAATATGTTAACAAAAATGTAATAATCTAAATTTATTTATTTATTATTATTATTATTTATTTTATTTATGCGAAAGGGGCCAACCGAGCAGACGGCCTACCCGATGGAGTTAGTACCGTTGCCCATAGACATCCGCAACAAAGTTTGTGCATGTGTTACCAGCCCTGATTAGGGAAGAGGGGAAGGAAAATGTGGGAAAGGAAGTAAAAAAGGAAGAGGTAGGAAAGGGTAGGGGGAAAGGGCAACCGGCTCTCTCACTCATCAGACGAAACGCAGCCGAATAAGGCTACTTCACGCCGATCTTCTGTGAGAGGATGGTACTTCCCCGGTTGAGCCAGCCCATTTTCGAGCTGCAGTGACATGACCACAGCTAGGCTCTACCACCTACCTATTGCTATGATAGGAAAGAATTTCACCCAATGTTACATTAATTATGAATTTAAACTTATTTATTTAAAAACAATTTTAGAATCACCACTACCTACAAACTGCACCTTTAACGATTCGGATTGGAATATTTTAGAAAAAATAGTTGATGACGAACTATCTTCGGTCAGGAATCTAGCTCAGGAAGAGATGCATAGTTTTTACATTCCTTCAGTAAGAGTATGTAATACAAAGTCGGTTATTATTGAAGATAGTGATACCAGTTCTATCATCATGTATAGTAGAGAAACAACTTCAATACCTACTACTAATTTAGACTTTAGTTCACCTGTACAACCCTCGGATTTGAAAGTTACCGTTATAAATTCTAATAATCAAAATAAAGCACAAGAAACTGAGCTTTCTGAAAAGTTAGGTGGAGGAGCTCTCGAATAGGTATCTGGATCATCTTTACCAAGTGTTAACTCATGTATAACCTTATCAGAATGTGACTCTCCAAGTACATCCAAGTAAATCATCTTTTAAAACTAACCCCGGTAAAAAAAAGATTAAAGTGTCCAGAAAATTGGATCGATAATAAAAGAAAAAGCTTACTAAATTATTATATGTATCTCGAAGTGGAAAACTTAAAAATAAAAAAGAATTGCGCCTCGCTTGTTCAACTTCATGTAAATTAAAATGTTTTGACAAATTTGCTACAGACATTCGCCAAAACATTCATAGTAATTGTTGGCAACTTGCTGATCATACGAAGCAATGGGAGTTTATAAATAAGTTTACTGAGAAAATTTAAAAAAAACGAATGCAACGGAGGGACCATCAAGAAGACCATTTACAACTAAGTATTTTTTACCAGCACCGAAAGATAACACATTTAAACCAGAACAAGTTTGTATGAACATGTTTTTGAATACATTTTCTATCAGTGACCAATTTGTTCGTACAGCACATAGTAAACTAAATCAAGAAGGGATTGCCTTAACAGATAATAGGGGTAAACATGCCAACCATCCAACTGTTGTAGACTCTGAAATGATTAAAAGTGTCTGTGATCATGTGGTGTCTTTCCAACCTATAGAATCTCATTAGACACGGAAAGATAGCAGTAAACTTTATTTAGATAGCAATCTTAAAATAAATAGAATGTTTGCGTTATATAAAATAGGTATAAAATAGGTTCGCCTTTATTTTTTCGTGGATTGATTTTAATAATAAAGGCCCCTATTTTAAGTTTACTTTTACTATAAGAAGAGATTTTTGCGTTATATTTTATTTTATAATTTAAACATGTGATTGTTATTGTGATCTCATTATAATAATCCATTTAAAAGAATATTATTTTAAAAGATTAAGTAAGACTGATTCTTATTACCAGGAGCCACGTTTAGGTTAGGGATTAATTTATGTTTCATCTGTAATAAGACTTCCTACTATATCTACCTTAATAAAGATGTTTTGAGTTAATGATTTTATCATTATTTCATAAAAAAATATCTTAACTACAAATATTTAACTCGGTATATCATTAAATTGGGTAGTTTCGATAAAATATTTTTACGTAAACCAATGGTAAAGTATCGAAATAGGCAGATACAATAATTATTTTTGTATACGGTTCCATGTAAATAATCGTAAGTGGTAGTTTCGATTTATGGAGGTTGTCTACTTACTAAGTAGACTATGGAAACTAACTTTTCTGGAAAACTGTCAAAAATTATTTTTAATCTCGGTGCGTGATGGTGGGTAAATCCAACATAAATGTAATATCTAAAATTTATCAACCTGTAAGTATAGATGACAAAATTATACAAAAAATTAACTTTAAACAGTTCTCCTGTAAAGTACCTCATTTCACTTTCGATACTATACTTAGGGACCATCGATATATGAGTTTCGATGACATATACCTACTAAGACTGCGCACCGTCAATGTGACCGCATACATATAAAGGCGGCGATAAGAATTATAGTAAGCAACGATTTCTTCAAAGTAATTGGGTACTTTTGTTTTATTTATGTTGAATTGAATTCTGAGTAAATTGTTACTGCCTAGCTTGTTTACATTTTACAGTAGACATTGGTTTGGTTCGGTGAGCAGTCGCATTTTTGTTATAAAAAATGAGTCGCCTGCTCTCCAATTCGGAAATAGAACAAGAATTGTTGTGATATCGAGATATACAAGAAGATGTGTCAGATGATGAAAGTAGTGATGATATAATAGACAGTGTTAGTGAAAACCGTGATGCAAAATTTCAGCCGGAACAGGTCACTTCTTCATCAGAAGACTCCGAAGTAGATCCATCTGCTACAAATAACAATATTATTGTAAATTCGCTCAGAGGACGCGGGGTATCTCGTAGATTCATTAGCGGTGGACGTACAACGCGTGGTGGAGGTTCAGCTAGGACATCTTCAGTACCAGAAGACGGTATGTTACAAGTAGCAAGTGACGGCACAGAGTGGACTTTTATTTCTCCAGACACTAGTGTAGTAGAATGTCGTAGTTAGCAAAATATACTTCGAGAAATGTCAGGGCCTACTCTAAATTTGGCAAAAAAACTAATAATCGAAAAGACTAGTATCGTTGGAACAATGCGGCGTGCAAGACGAGAAGTACCACCGATTTGTAGAGGTATTTGTACTATAAGATATGAAACTTTCATAATGAAAACCGAGATCGATATAACCCTTACTACCGATCAAGGTAAACCAGAAAAAAATGTTATTATTTTGAGTACTCTACAAACTGAGTGGGAAAGCGGACCCTGGGTTCTCCCGCCCTGGGCGGGACGAACAGCCGGGACAAACGCTAGGATGATGATGATTTTGAGTACTCTACACCCCAACGTAAGCATAGGTACTGATCAAATAAAGCTGCCTGGAACAGTCGAATTTTATAATGCAACAAAATTTGGTGTAGACAACATCGATCAAATGGCACGCATATACACCGTAAGAGCTAAAAGAGGAAGCTGGAGATGGCTTGTTCACGTTTTTTACAATATACTAGATTAAGCAGCTATAAACTCGTGGATTCTATGTCAAAAAGTCACAGGAATAAAAATTTCTCGTCATGATATTATGCCTCAACTAGTGGGCGAACTACGTGAAGAGTACGTGAGAAAAAAATCCACTTCAACTGCGACTCTGAGACAAGAAACTAATTCTGAAACAAGTGAACCATATACTACAAACAATAATAGGCGGCTATGTCAAATCAATAGTAATTGTAAAAATAATGTATAACATGTGAAAACTGCACTATCTGTAAAAAAGCTGTTCGTGGAAAATGTACAAAAGAGTCTAAAAAAACTATTCCTTGTTACAAATGTTACTAACTTTAATGCTAAATTGTTTACTACTAAAAATAAAATGGTATTATTTTTATTTAAAATCTGTTATAATTTCATTAGTTTTCTCACTTCATCTCTAGTACCGTCAAATTGACCGCTGCGGTCTTTGAAGGTATAGCATAAAGCCCGGCCCTGCTAGTGTTAATATATTTGTCATAGTAATTGTTAATTGTGTGATACAAACAACCATCACTCATGCGATTATCTCCGATGGTAATAATTCCTCTCAGTACTAAGAAGTGACACTGCATCTGTATGTATAACATTTTGTAGACAGCTTCTGAGAGTAATCGATTCATGTATTAGTAATTTCGTAAAGTTCTTAATATGCTTAATTTAATGTAAGGCTCTTTTCTTTTTAAAACCTCTTAGATTTAATATATTATATATAAATAACACCATATTATGCATCCTTAAATTTGATATAGAAAATGTGAATTGTTGTTTGTACCTCAACTGTAAAAATGGGTCGTTGGGCAATTTAAACTATTTTATGTTTAGAAAGGTATAGTCTCGGTATATTATAGCTACAGTTTATATTCGCTACAAAAATTTCTCATCATACGTGGGTAAGTCCCGTCATAGAAACTAGCAATTTATAGTTATTTACAGCATTCTTTTGAAATATGCTCGATTTATGATACAAATTTCCAGAGATCGGTAAAGTTCAACTATTTTGTAGACTATAGTTAGCCAACCAATATTTTATCATAACAGTTAAATGTTACAAACATTTTTATACTAGCCTTCATCATTGTTGTACCAGGCCACAATAATTACAACAGTTTAATATCCGTCGCATTCACTGTTCAACGTTGTTCTCACTAAAATTCAGTTGGTTTAAAAACTGATCATCCCGTTTGTTTTTCTGTGTTCGTAATTATATTTGTTATGTAATGTACTGAATAAAAATAAAAATAAAATATATTATACATAGTCATATACATATATAATGTATATATGGGTAGTCTTATTTTCTCGGGAAATCTAAGAAACACGTGTATGTATGTTCTAATAAGATATTTATTTTTTCTATTTCTGAGGTTCAATACAATACATAATTGGTATCGATACTTTGTATGTGGTTTACATACGAGTAACGAAGTGTTAATCTCTACACATTAGTTATTTTTGTATTATTTATGATCTTTACATAAAGAATGTGTATCAATTCCTTTTTTATCACTACAACAAAACAACCTATAAACAAAATAATAGGATTTTATCTGGAATTTCAGTAAACAACATCGTTACGACTTTTGAGATAAGCAGTACATATATTGTTATAGACGAAGAGTATTTAACTTGGGTAGAACAAAAGATTTTATGCACGTCTATAGACAAAAACTATAAATATTTCTTGAAGTTGTAATATTATTGCTTCTATTATTTTGTTACTGTTTATATTTTATATTGTTATGAGAGTATTATATTACAATCCAACACTTTTATTCAACCAATGTACTTCATTTAATATTGAAATTGGTTAAAACAAAAAAATAATAAAGAGGAAGGTTTAATTTTCATAGAGACACTCGTGTTGTTTCCGAACATTATATCCGAAAAGTTAATATTTCTCGCTTTCAAGTGCACTGTTACAGACGATAGATAAATTAATAACCATTTACAACAGATTTCTGATTTAAGAAAAACGTTAAAAGAATTTCACAATATTATTTTATCTCTTTTTTAATCATCTTTCGAGTAAAAGATTTTAAAGCGACCTTCTTTATAGTACTATATGGATGTAATAAATTAAATATTTTGAATATTAATAAGATTTAAATTCAATATAAATTAAAATTTTTAATTATACAAAATACAAATCTTCAATACAATACATCTTCGTTACACTGTTTTAAACTTAATTCAAATTAAAGCAGTCTCTCATTTTTAAATACATAAAGTAATATACGCTGAATCCTCCCTTCTTTCCAGCTAATCAGTAAATAGATCGTCTCAGCTATATTTAACAGAGTAAATATTGTCTTTATAGCAAGCCTACTCTAAATTATTAATTTGGGATTAAAAAGTAGAAATTTTAAAAATCGTCTTCTTTATCAACGCTGCTTTGATTTTGAAACAGTAATCCTTGATATCGTATTACTAATACAAATTTTTAATCTTAATGGGAATAAAAGGAAGAATGTAATTTATCAGTAATGAAGAATTATTATTAATACTTCGATACTACAGTTATAGCATGTTAATGTTTTCAACCAACCACTTTCTTACACTTATATTAAGACCTAGAGATTAAGGACAAATAATTTCAGTATATGATACTTTTTGAACCAACAAAACGTATATATATGTATATATACAAGGAATTACTTAATTTCTATATTTGCGAAAGTCAAAACAAAAATGTGAGTTTGGTTTATGTTTACGTCCGGTGTATATAGATTCAATGAATAGGAATATTATTCGACGTAACCCTTATACTCGTATTGAGAACACTCGAAAAAAGAAAATGAAATTATACTCACTCATTGACATAATATTGTCTTCATATTTATCTTGTTATGTTAAATTGTTAAAAGTTATATAGTAACATAAGCGTTATTTACTTCGGAAAAACAGAAGTTCTTTAATAAAACTTCTAACAAATATGTAGTAAAGGCCAACGATGAGTAAGTCTTCCGTCAATCTGTAGCATTAAGCTGAATTAAAAAATAAGATAGAACATTTACGGTGTCACTTCGGCTTTTCGACTGTATCTAGTGTAACTCGTAAAAATATAGGACAGTAGATTATTTTAAGATTTTTATTTTTTATAAAAAAAATAATTCAGTAATGTTGATGGAAATGTCGAATTGAAATCAAAGGTACGAATGGATAATAACTCAAAAACTCCTTTGCCTTTATAGGATGTAAGATAATGTAATGTTATGTACATATTATTAAGAGCAGTTGTTCCAATTAATTTTTTACACGTGTATTAAGAGCAGTTGTTCCAATTAATTTTTAACACTCATAAACATTTGTGCTAATAAAATTGACAGTTTAGTTCTCATATAATGCAATAAGTTTCGTTTTAATCAAATTTGTATAAAAGTAAATCAAACAGCAATATAGCTAATTTTACGAGTTTAATTCAGTCGTTTACGCTTATTGTGTCCAAGTATCCAAATGGTACTCCATGTCAATCAGTCTAGTACACCAAATATATTATATAAGAGCAAAATCAGTTTTTATTGAACAAATAAGGTTGTCTATTTTAAATCTCCCCTTAAAAGTAATCTTTATTTTCTCGTTAGATTCCTGACAGTGAATAGAGGAGTGTTTGCGACAAGTGCGACGACTATTTTACGTTTTAAGAGACTTCACAGATCAGTTTCAACTAGAAATATATCGTACAATAAACTAGAGTGAAAAAAAACTGTGTTAATTTTATCATTTGCAAAAAACTTCTGAGTGATTCATCTTCAAGTCAGAATAAAAAATTATATAAGGAATTTTATAAAACATTCTTAGTAGTATTAGTCTGCAATAATTTTTAATAATAGTAATGAAAATATAGATTGTTCAAAATAATAAAATACCTCCTAAACATAGTAAACCTTTCTACCTAATCAACATTCAACGCTTGATCACAATGTTTTTTATCAAATTATGTGGCTGTGGCATTTTTTACCATGAGTAAAACAAAAAAGTGTCTCATCATCATTTGATGTAATTTGATCGATGCGAATAAATTATATCTTTCTGACGAGTATCATGTATTTCTGGGGCTTTAGAATTTGATAAAAAATGAGAGAATATGCAGTTGTTTGACAAAAATATGTGCAAAAAAAACTATAGGTAATTTCTCTCTATATTACGCATAATTTATTTTAACTTTAACATAATATGATCAAATCTTATTTACCGTTTTTGTTAATGAAGTAACTGGATAATACTCTTCAAAGTCGTAACACATGGCACAACAATACATCGTATTATAATAATGGCGACGAAAACGAACATAAAGACTCCCTTGTTGGTTTCTATAAAGATTTTTTCTCAGTCGGTATCACTCTTTACAGAGTGGTCGTGGTCATCCGTTTGGGTAGTGGTAGCTCGCTTTAGAAATAAAATATAAATATAGTAAGATATTCACATGTAAATTTAACTCAATACAGCTTGGCAAGATCATGGAATCGAATCAAATAT